ATATATCAATGTCCAAGGTGTTCAAAGTTGGACTATGTTTGAAATATTGGTAAATTACGGAAACATGGGTGGTGAAGAGCTCCCATTTCTTAGAGGTTTTCATTGGGAGAAAAGTGCATCCTTCCCCAAATTGTTTAATTCACATGCAGTTATTTTTCTTGGAAAAGAAAAAATAAATCCCAATAAATCTGTTACTCTCTCCGGTTTTATGATTTTTAGGAAGTTTTGATTAAATTCTTGATGTGGTGTGGCAGGTTCATTAAGCAGTGTGCTTGGTTAATTGTTGTGATTCAGAGTTTGTTGATTGTCGCGTCCCGCAAACACTACACAGTTGATGTTGTTGTGGCATGGTAAATATATTAATTTACTTGCAATTTTTTATTTTGGAACTTGTACTTTTTAAAAGTGGTCTAATATCTTTCCAACACATGACTTTGATTCAGGTATACTGTTAACTTAGTCGTGTTCTTTATCGAGAAAACATTGCCAGGTTAGTGTTTAATCATTCTTTGGATAGCCATTATTTACCGTTGTTGGACACTTCACCTCTGACATTGTTTCTATTTCGTGTAGAATTGCCTGATCGCTCTAATGGAGGTACATTGCTCCCTTACACCAAGGATAGCTGGACAAAGGAAGAGAATCACAAACTTTTGAATGGGAATTCTGGAGATTCGGCTGACAGGGTACTAACATTCACCATTTTTTTAATTTTTGTATTTTAGTCACTTGGCTTTTTATTGCCTATGGTGTAGTGGTTTTCTGATATTATTATGACATTATTTTCAGAGACCTAAGACTCAGAGCAATGGCAAGATCATTGAAAATGGAAATTCACTGCATATTGAAGCAGCGATCAATGGCATATAGATTATGGTTATAGAAGAGACAGCATTGCAATTATTCAAGTTGCAATGGAGATGGCTCTCTCGGTTTAATACTTGGTCTTCGGCGAATCACATCTGCTGCTGTTCTTCAGGACCGGTAAACCTTGTTTGTAATCTAGAAAGGGTGTTTGGGTTTATGCTTTTCAATGTTTTAATAGTCCTGCTCCTCAGGTGGATTGCAAAGTGTCACCATTAAAATTCATATCTTGTCATGGACTTCCAGTTATGTTAATTGCTTCAATCATTTTTTATGTTGAGCTTCTTACATATTGGCTTCTGCTAGTGTTTCATACAATGAAATACTCTACATGCTTCCTGTTAAATAGACCGAAAGGAAAAAAAGACATCGGTCGTCTTAACTGCAGATAAAGATGTAAAAGTTTGTTTATTTTATTTTATTTTTTATCATTTTCTTGGGGGTGGGTTGGTTTATAGTAGGATTTTGGTTATCGATGATCTGTGGATTCATTTTCAGTCAGTATGATGTTGTTTTCTTTAGGCAACATCAGCATGGGCTGTTGATGCAATTCAGTGACTTCTGTCCCCTACCCCACATCCTACTTGTGTATGGTTTATGGTATTTAAAATGTGTAGCAAGTTTTCACATTTGAAATGGAGACCACTCCTACCAGCACATGGAAACTCAGTCCTTAATGTTTTAAGTTCACGACTGGAATCTTAACTTAGCGATGCAGGACATAATTAACAATATAGTTTTTTTCTTTTTGAAATTGATCTCCAAAGATCCATATTCCAGTCTTCTATTGGAAGTAGTCCTCTCCAGATCTATATTCCTTGTCCTGCACTGGGTAGAACTTGTCTCTTGTAAGGTTAGGGTGCTCGTATAATTATAAGTACTCGAATTAGCCACGAGATCTGCATCTTCCCATGCGAATAGAGTAAATTGGCACCAAACCCTTCTCCCATCAGAAAACATGTTTTCATCTGTTGAGGTTGTCTGATCATTTGAACATCAATCCGATGACCGGAAAATAAGGATTAATCTACTTAAATGATAGAAAGGTTGACAGATGTGCATGCAACGGTAGATGATTGAATGAAAAAGTTAACTGTGTTGTAAATTGTCTAATGATAAGATGACATGTGACATTTTGTTAGGAATTATGTCTAAGACATCTGACACTATAGCATGATGGGAAAAATAATTTATGAATGAGTTTTAAAAATGGGGGGACACGTGTCGCTTAATGATTGGACAGTTAAAAAGGAAAAATGAACCAAACAGGTGTTGACACACAGCACTTGTTTCCAAACCCTATTCCCAACCCTGTCCGAGCAGCTTTATTCTTTATGAACTAATGTCGATTCAAGTAAATGGAGAAATGGTACAAACATTTAATGCAGCAGACAAGTAGATGTACCCCCAAGTGCAGATAAACAGTGTCAAGAAATAGGCTTTCTTTTCCCCGGGGTTAATAATTTGGACAAACGCTATATGAATGATTTTGAATTGGCTGAGATAATGTATAATTATAAGTACTCGAATTAGCCACGAGATCTGCATCTTCCCATGCGAATAGAGTAAATTGGCACCAAACCCTTCTCCCATCAGAAAACATGTTTTCATCTGTTGAGGTTGTCTGATCATTTGAACATCAACCTGATGACCAGAAAATAAGGATTAATCTACTTAAATGATAGAAAGGTTGACAGATGTGCATGCAACAGTAGATGATTGAATGACATGTGACATTTTGTCAGGAATTATGTCTTAAGACATCTGACACTATAGCATGATTGGAAAAATAATTTATGAATGAGTTTTAAAAATGGGGGGACACGTGTCGCTTAATGATTGGACAGTTAAAAAAAGGAAAAATGAACCAAACAGGTGTTGACACACAGCACTTGTTCCAAACCCTATTCCCAACCCTGTCTGAGCAGCTTTATTCTTTATGAACTAATGTCGATTCAAGTAAATGGAGAAATGGTACAAACATTTAATGCAGCGGACAAGTAGATGTACCCCCAAGTGCAGATAAACAGTGTCAAGAAATAGGCTTTCTTTTCCCCGGGGTTAATAATTTGGACAAACGCTATATGAATAATTTTGAATTGGCTGAGATAATGTATCAAACTATTCGCAGCGGCTTGCTTATACTCATCTTAAATGAAGGATACTTAGAGGGGCCGTCGTCTCCAATTGTATCTATATGTGATTCATACTGGATCGAACCAATCGTCGATCTTAATTGACGGCGCGATACTTTCGATATCTCTCTTTCGAATGCTTAATTTGTAAAAGGGGTCCTCTTGAATCCTAAATGGGTGGTACATATGATTACTACATCTTGCCTGCCAGCATAAAATGACTTAGCCATTGTGGACTGTCCTGATTTATCATTATTCTGTCATCAGCCTTGCCTACAAAATTTGAGGTTAATTATAACATGGGACCATCATCCTTTTCCTAGTGAAAAAGGGGATAACATAAGAATTTTCATTACATTATGTTTTGGCAAAGTCACATAATCAAACCATAGATATTGAAATATAACCAAGTTTGACAATATTAATATGAATAATTAGATATTTAAACTCAAAGAAAGCAAGTTAAAAATAAGTTTTTAAGTACAATCAAATGTGCTCAAATTTAATGAAATAAAGAAAGAGAAGTATATTCGAAGATTCGGAGTCGACATAATTCTACTAAAATATCTTGATACATTATGATGCCATTGACAGCCCCATGGAAAGCAATAAAAAGGAAAAAAGAATGCATAGAATAGGGGGAGGGAGCACGGCCATATGGGATGACAAGAAAGTATACAATTTGATTGAATACGACCAATGTTAAATTATGTGCTACGTTGACAAAAATGGACCCACCCACCAACAGACCAGTTTTGTTGTGTACAGAAATTGTGCACACAGAAAACTGCCGAAACACACACAACACTAGTGAGAGCCCCCATTTTTTGTAATATTTAGCCCCGTTCGACACCTATTTTTTTCTCATTCTCATTCTTTTTCTCTTTCTTCATTTCAATCACACATTCGATCGATAAAACACACGTTTTTCTACTAAAATAGGTGTCAAACACTCCCATAATTTCACGTGGGACCCACCTCCATGTGAGTTTTCCTTTGAACTTCTGTAGGGAATTTTTCTGTACGAATGGAAAAATTCCCAACGGAATATCATTGCACCGTTTTATACCTAATAATAATGTCGTTCAATTCTATCAACTCGATTTGATAAGTGCGTTACTAAGAAGTAATTTTCAGATAAGTAATTTATGAAAACATTTCTAAGGATTTTGCGTGTATTAAGTAATTAAATTGAATAATTTTTACGCAGTTTAGAATGGATCTTCCTCGTTTATTTAATTAAAGGCAAGTCAAGTAATTTGCTAAGATAGGGCTATAAAAGGACTGCTTCAATGAATTAATCCAGTCTTTGACTGAACAAATCGAATTACTTAGGATTTGTCCTACATCACCGAATTTTTGGACATTGACCTGCCGAAAACGACCCGTGTCGCATAATTATTTATAGAATTATATAACTTTCTCAACTACATTTTCTTCTCGTTTTCATTGGAGAATGAAAATCTCGTTAGACTGAGCCTCTGTTTCATGAAGATTATAATTAAAGTTTTAATAAATTTTAATAAAAAAATTGATAAAATATGTGATTAAAAAGTTGTAACCATAAAATATATGGTTGAAGTTAATTGTTAATTTTAACTTCAACGCTATTTCTTTAATAATACAGAATGCTCGAAGGCTATGTGCCAATCCATTGGTCTTCCTTGAATAAAATAGGTGGTGGGTCAAGGTGGTCCCGATGACCAGACTCCCAACCCCCGAATCACCAATGTTAATAAGGGTAGCCCGAGTTATATCGAGTGGTGGCATCAAAGGAATGTATTTTAGTGATTGATCCAATTCGTTTCCGTAGTACTCGATGCATGGGGGGGAGGTAGCCGGGTTGTAGTTTGAATCTCAACCAAAGTCTAATGCTCAATTATTCAAATTGTATTAAAGATGTTACGATTATTAATTACTCTTTTCATGACATTCATGAAACGTGAATATTTTATTGTCAAATTACATATTCTATTTACTGCATGTTTGACTAAATTTACTTATAATTATTAATTAAAATTTATTATAGATAATTGTATTGATTAGATCTAGAAGTAAATTACTTATTTTAGTAATTAGAGACACTGCATATTTTGCTAAAGTTAAAAGTAATTAATTTTTTTTTTAATTTCTACGTATGTTTTTATATATTACTTATTCATACTTTTAAAAAAATTACTTATTTTGACCATAAAAAAGATATTATGATCAAAATAAATAATTTACTCTAGATTCGATATTGACAATAAAAAGAATATTTGTTAATAAATTTATTTATTTGTAAAGTAATCTATATATAAGTATATTCTTGAAATCGAGCCAAAAATGAACGTGAATTAAATTTAATTTCTCCGACCCTTGAAATTTTTATTTGATTTTTCTCCCTTTGGTTTAGATTCTCACTCACTTTGAAATGTGGTGATATAAAAGATCGATAAAAACACCAAATAATATTTCTAGACAATAACATATGGATTATAGTGATATATTATCGACTGCGTGTTTTGATCAAACTTTTAATTCTTTGAAAAGATTGGTCGTCAAAGTTACTAGAAGAGTATTCGTTAAGTAATTTTTAAAATTTTTATTGCTAGATAAGTATTTTTGTTTCTTTCTATCACGATTCAATCAATTTAAATTTTTTAAGGCAAACATCGATTTTCTATTTGGTAAAAAAAAAAATACAAAGATTTAGTGAAATATTTTAATGTGTGATATCTAAACTTTTTTTATTTCATTGGGTTCCTTATATATACATTTTTTATCGTGAATGTCATGATAATAGCCTTAGAAACTCGATTTTTTGTTTGTGAGTTCATTCGAAATTCTTTAAATTTCAGCCAATCCTAACATCATTCTTTGGTTCCACCT